TTCGCCACTTATGGCGGCTGTGCGACATCACTCTTGCCCTGAAGGGTAGAGTGTACAATGCAGCGGTACGTTCGACTCTACTCTACAGTTGTAAAACCTAGCAGCTTAAAGCAGCGGCGATGGGAACACTGCGCGAGCAACGAGCGTGTTTGACGCCTTGTTTACGGCACAAGAAAAGAAAATGAACCGCTCAGCACCGTCATTTCACGCACCAGGCTCCGATGGCTCGGCCACGTGTTACGCATGTCAGCCCACCGACTCCCGCGACGTGTGTTGTTTGCGTGCCGGGGTGTGGATGGAAGAACAGGAGGAGTGGCCAAGCGATGACTTGGTCCAGAGGAATGAAGGCCCTCACTTCTGAGCTTGTCTCGGTTGGAGCGTCTCGGCTCCCTGGTTGGGGTCCGAAAGATGATGAACACGTTTGCTTGGACACACTTGCTGATATGGCTAGGAGCCGACCTCAGTGGCGTTTGTGCTGTGAGTTTCTTTATCCCACCCCATCCATCTTAGCCTCCCCCTCCAAACCACGGTCTCATTAGTTAGCTTTATATAATATCGCATAGTCTTTTTTGGTGCACAGTAGCCGACTGGTAGCTTACCGGAACGATGCCCATCCGTTACCGCTAGCTCAGCCGGCTTACACCAGTTGCTATTTTTTCTCCTTTTTTTATCTGTATTGCGGCACAGTGGCTGAGGTGTTCCCCGCCTCTAGCTAACGTGTATAATGAGGATGATGATGACTAACAGTATCTATTACGGATCCCTTTCCGTGGCATGTGTGTTGGAGTTGAATATTCACCCTGCAAACGTGCATAAAACACATTCTTGACTTGATTTGACAAAACTCAAATCTTTTATCTATTTTAACAAATAACAGAACTATCTAAACTATTCCGTGCCCGGGATCCGCGTTGCGGCAGCACGTTTAATTTTATCACAACGCCTGATGGAATATAGTGTGGAATATAGTGGAATATAGTGTGTGGAATAGTGTGGGTCCCCACTATGTGGAAGTGTGGCATTATAACCCCTATTTTTAAGGGCGGTAGCCGTTCCGATCCTGCAAACTATCATCCAATGACTCTCCTCCCAGTGCTCGCGAAGGTGATGGAAGCAGTCGTCGCTGAGGCTTTAATGGACTACCTAGAAAAATGCAACATTTTGATACCGGAACAGCATGGCTTCCGTCAACACCGGTCATGCACCACCAACCTACTGATTGCACGAGGTAGTTGGACGGAAGTGGCTGATGATGGGGTCGGAGACGATGTCATCTATCTGGACTTCTCCAAAGCTTTCGACCGCCTTGATCACCGCATCCTACTTCAACGGCTACAGAGTTACGGAATCGGTGATCCTCTACTTGGTTGGATTGGCAACTTCTTTTACCAACGAAAGCTCCAAGTACGTGTTAGAGGATCACTTCCTAATCCAATTGAGGGGGAATGTGGTGTCCCACAAGGCTCAGTGCTGGGACCGCGTTTATTCCTGGTGTTCATCAACGACCTGGCAAGAGTCCTCTCCTCAAATTTCCTGCCTTTCGCCGATGATGTCAAGATATGACAGGCGATTGGCAACAAGCCAGATCAGGATCCGCTCCAACATGACTTAGATTGCATTTACGAATGATCAAAGAGGAACATGCTTCAATTGAACGTAGCTAAGTGCAAAGTGATACATCTGCGTCACCAGCCGGTTAGCGCTTACAAGCTTTGAGACCACAACTTGTAGAAGGTCTCTCAGGAGCGTGACCTGAGTGTATTGGTACAGGAAGATCTCGGGTGTTCCAAACAAGCAGAGAAGGCGACGAGAACCGGAAATCAACACTTCGACCTTCTTCGAAGAGCCTTCGGTCGGTTTGAACCATCAACATTTCCACAAATGCTTAACGCCTACGTGCGACCTCACGTGGAATATGCTATTCAGACGTGGCAGCCGTGGCAGAAACAGGATCTCGTTGCTCTCGAGACTCCGCAACGGAGGGCAACCAAGAATGTCAGGGGCCTCTTTCATCTGCCCTATCAGCTTAGATTGAAATCGCTAAGAATCTACAGCAGTCGATATCGGCTTTCGCGGGGGATCTCATAATGGTTTACCAAATTCAGAAGGACCCAAACCACATTTGCCGTCTGCTGCTGGAATTGAACCACAACACTAACCTAAGAGGTCACCCTCTGAAACTGACAATTCAGTATGGCCGACTTGAATGCCGTAGAAATTTCTTTTCTCTCCGCGTGTGCCAGCCTTGGAGCGCCCTCCCTAATTATGTCGTCTCTGCTCCCAATCTGGCGATGTTTAAAAAACGTGTTGACGATGCATTGTCTTAGTTACATTTCAGGTTATGACTTGTTAGCCAGGGGCTACAAAAAGCAACCAAACGGTGTCTTGCCAAGCGCCTTACCAATGGATTTATGGATTTATATGTTTAATACGCGAACATCTCTGCTATTCCACATAAGTCTATGGTGAGTCCACCACAACGCTTTTCACTTTATCATGCAATTGATTTTCACAATAATTTCCATCATACGGGACTTGTTAAGCAACGCTTTTTTACACGTAATAAACCATTGTTCCATTGTTCCAAATACTTCGATACACCAAGTACTATTTGTGTAGCTTCCATTACTTACTCTGGCGAATCAATGCTTAATGAATCCACAAACACACGAGCGCCTATCATCCTGCACGTCGGTGAAAGTCTATGCACCCTGGAATTCATTAATGCGAAAACCACTGGCCAACTCTCATTTATGCACCACGACCTACGCAGTGCTTTATTGAGTTCTCCACTGCTTAAAAAATGCAATGGTAGCGACTTGCCTCTGAGTTTACTCCACATATTTGCACTATTTTCAACAACGGAGTACAGCCTAGTCAGTGGAAGAATTCTGTCGTTAACCCGCAACACAAAGTGGAGCCGCTCACGAGGTTAAGTTCTATCGCCCCCTCAGACACATGCTCAGTTTGTCTTGAATAATGGAAAGAATAGTGAACGATCAACCGTTTATCTTCTTGTACAAGACCCACGTCACCAGCTAGACGCAGCACGGTTTTATGCTATGTCGATCCTGCGCGAAATGCCAAGTAAACCTCTTAAACCACACAGAGGTTGACATAGACTACAGAAACATCGTTATACTCCTGTTCCTGGACATGCAAAGAGCCTTTGAGAGACTGCCTCATCGGAGGTTACTCCACTAATGGAACGCAATCGGTATTGTATAGCCGATGTTTTCTTGGTTGTCATCAAATCTGGTTAGTAGATAGCAGATGGTACGCACAGGTGACCAATTCTCTCAACCGAATGCAGTCACTAACGGAGTAATTCAAAGAAGTGTTCTTGCTTCACTTCTTTTTCTCGTCTATGTAAACAATGTGTTCCAGCGAAAAAGTCATGATGTTGCATTTCTGTTTACTAATTACATTAGAGTCGTCTACTCAAAAGATGGTGTAAATACACGGGAAGCCGTACGCCTCATTCAAGATGACCTATGTATACTCGAATCCTGGTGTCAAATGCTACTCACGCTATTTACCGTGGACAAGTGTACTACTCTGTCGTACAAATGTCAAGTACCACCAAGTAGTCTATTAGCACATGAAGAGTACATCTCTCACTATACGACAGTTGGATCCCTGGGAGTGCGATACTGTTGCATTCCGTTGTTCTAAACAGTGTGACTTTCAAGTTTCGAAGCCCATGAAAATCGTAGGCTACATATGCCATCCGTTTAACGTCACGGAATCTAGCATTTGGCTTTACAAGACCTATGTATTGCCTTGTATGGAATACGGTCCATTGGTTCAATCGAATCTGCGAAAATTTGAGCAGCATGGTCTGGAGCCGGCTCAGTGACGTTTAACGAAAAAACTATGCAGTTATTCCTCTTAGGTGGCATGCAGTTGGCGTTGCGATGCGTTTGCATTTGATTCCGTTTGGTTTCGGAGAATGAAACTAAGACTGTGTTATCTTTACAGGATCATAAACTATCATGTGCACAGTTCTAATATGGGCGTTTACATGCCAAGATTCCAAAATTTATTACGATAATTAAATAACGATTTCATTAACCCACTACTCGAAGAGTTGGAACAAACATTTCGGAGATAACAATACATGCGAAATTGTAAGCTTTCGATTAGTGGGCAGTAAACCGTCCAAAAGGCGAGTAATGTGTTCGAGACATCACAATTTCACCATAGCGATTTCGAGTATGTTATACACTGCGAGTGACAAAAGTACGAACAAGACATGTATTTGGGGTAAATGCACATTTGCATATGAATATTTCGGCCCACAGCCCATGTGATTAACATTTCATCCGAGCTTAAACATCTTTCATACGTTTGTGAAAAGCACTGGTTTATTGACAGGTGGAAAAACCAGCAAAACAAATAGTATCCTTTATGTTACATAGGCTTGGAGTTTGTGTTTACGCTTTTTCAGTTAATTATGCAACAGGAAATAACTGCGAATTTTCGAATTGTCCATGGGACAGTCAGCTTCCAGCTTTTTCTTAGTATACATCAATTTCTGTTTTTCCTTTACGTACATACTTGTATACATGCTACCTACTTACCTTCAGAAGTGATTTCTTTCCGATACTATGTTGTTTAAAATTGTCTACAAAACAAAACTTTGTACCTGTCAATCTGTCCGTTCGCGGGAGCGGTCTCTCGCAGCTTGGAGAAATAAAGGATTTCATTATTCAGTTAGTTAGAAAATACTGATGACTGGTTCACACAGATCAATGTCGTCAATAGAGCATCGGAAGAGATTGGTAGTAAACTACGTTATCACCTGTGGTCACCTTACTGGCCTCAGTAAGTCTTCGTTTACATAATTTTATGAGCATTTGACATGGACCAACAGGAGTATGAATGGCTAACTCGACGTCGTCTTTGCTGTGGTCAACCTCTCCTACAACATTTCTCATAAAAGAGGACACTGAGATGGAAACATCTAAGATGAGTGTATGTTATTCGGTAATACTATATACTAACATCACAGTCTTGGATTACGTAGTAGAAAGCGGGAGACGGAGTGCGGGGGAATGATTGGGTAGGATTTCCAGCACGACTGCTTAGACGTCACAAATGAATTGGAGGCCAATAACCATTGAACCCGCAAGTAAATCCATTCAACTCAGCCACGAATGGAAGTGAATAATCCGAAGGATCGAAGTACAACGAGTCTGAGTTCACAATCAGTTTGTAACGCGTTAACTTGGATTTGAATGACGGGTGAGCTTGGCTTGTTTCAATTTTGCTACAGCCATCAACACTAAAGTGTCCATTGACGAATTCCTTCTTGAAAATGAGCTGTGACAGAGTGAAGAAAGAAGGTCAGAGCCAAATTCCGAAATGCAACAAGAAATACATTAATGAGCAAAGAGCGACCACGTGGGATGGCCGCCAACATGTAACATGCCACTTCGAACGCTGTCTGTTTAAAGCAGGGATTTCAGCGTCTGAACGTGCAAGCCAACGTGATCGAGGCCATACGTACCTTACGACAAGTGCGACGATTTATCGGGCCAACAAGTATGAAAGCTGAAAGGGATGGACAAATATTTTGTAACCCTTGCGGATGGTGCGCACAGGTAGAAAAGTTAATGTGTAAAAGCGTCCAAGAGTAAGCCATGGGTCAGAAGCCTGAAATCAAGGATGAAAATGAATGACCAACACACCTAATATCCATGCGAGCAGATCCACTATGAACCTCACTCAGCACATACGATTAAGTTGACCACAAATTATCCTGCAATGGGAACTAACGTATGCGTGCACACAAGTGAACTGGTAGTCCACGCGACTGGTGGCTCCGTGTTGAGCTCTGCCCTGACGTTTATCTGAGTTGGTGCCAAATCATCCAACACGAGGTTGATAACTTAGACCTTGGCTGTGAATGGTATTCAGTCAAAATGGAATTTGAACGTCCAGCATCGATTCGATGATAGTCGTGATGGTCGTGGTGCAGTATGGAGCATGAGGCGGTCAAGAGTGTACACTGGGTAGCCGATGCACTTTGCCGGTGTACAAATAAGCAGCACAAAGCGAAGCACCATGTGTCCTTAGGGGTTGGATGCTGCAACTATTCCACACCCCATAACTGAATACGGCACTAAGTAGTATTGCGCCTACGATATGAGAAGCGATTCCGTGCAAAGTCAAACGTGTTTATTCGCCTCCCTCTCTTCCTTCTCTAGATACCAGCTAGATTAAGATTAATCACAAAAGTACCATACCGTGGCAACACGCATACAGTATGCACACGTGTCTCGCATCGGACACCAACATGATCATCATCGCTGACAATATACCGACATAATTTATTATACTAAAACACTACAGTCTGAGGCGTTGAGGGATGATGGTTTGCATAGGCAAATGTGCAGTTAATTGGATGATAGTTTCATTCGTCGCTCGCACCTCAAACGAACTTACATGCGTTGACAGCAGCATCCATGACCGGCGCAGATTCTGCAATCATGAAAGCAAAGGGGCAAGAAAACAAAAATATTTCATAAGGACGATAAGCGCCTAAATAAATGCGATGCTGCGTCAATCCAAGTTGGATATTTTTCACACGTTAACAAGGTACGACAAAAAATCAATGGACATTTACATGTGAAAATTGCTCGGAACTCCAGATGTCACTTCAAAGCGTCACTGTGTTGATACCAAAGTGAAATTGATTACTGCCGAAAAGTATTACACTCTGCATGTGGTAATATATCCAACCGGGTATCGGGAGCTGAGAATGTGCATGTCTAAGTTTTGGACTGGTTCGATTAGTGAATTATTCCAATTGAGATAAAGAACTGAATTGCTCGCGTGTCCCTAGCACACCCGTTTCAATCAAGGTAATCTGATAGCCGCATCCATAAACAAACAAACGCTGAACTCACCGAAGACATCACGTTCCTCCCCGGTTGTGACGGTGGTCAGACAATCACCTGCATTCTCGTTGAGCAACCGATTGACTCTCCACGCCCGTTCGAACACTATCATACTTTGATAATCCATTTGGAGCTTCGTCTCATTCATGGCCACTTGCAACTTGTAGTAAGGAGTCTTACCTGTCAGCATGAGGCTAGACGCGGTGCACCCAATGAACATGCCGGAATTCCACCGTGTCCTGCTGCGTGCTTTCAGCTGCAGAAGTTGACGTACAAATCAGGCATGTGGAGGGCAGTAGGAATAGGAAAAATGATGCCGAACAAAATTCACAAGGTAAATGCGTTATTCATTTAACTTACTGGGTTATTGGGATTTCGCCAATTCGAGGGTGCAATGTGTTCGATGTTGACATCTCAGCACAACCCACTTTATTCGCAATAATTTACCAATGTGGCAGAGCAACGACCACTCAGTAGGGAAGTGCGGCTTATTCGTCCCCATCACAATACACCGCAGCACTCGCAGTCAACTTCCTACACCCATTCACTGCGCCAACCAACAAGCACTAAAGCACTATCTCATTCGAGGAACCGGGGTGACGTACAACAGTCAAACCTTGAGTTAGGCAAAGCCGATTATCCGAAACTGAGAACAAGTTGGATCGTCACATCAACGGAATTTTAAAGCTGGTATTTCTCTTCAGAAATTCGAAAAACGCAGAAAGAAGACGAACACTGGTAAATGCACGCATCCATCAGTGATTAATGGAATTGTCAGAAAATTGTACAAATATGGGAATTTAAAAGACCTCAATCGCTTGGGATCCCAATGTTTGAGCGTCAACAACGAGATGCAATTAAACTGGTCAGGAGAAAATGGAACTGTGGAATCCACTGGTAAAACCGAACAGGTGGAGGTTAATTAGCTACACGACAATGTGTAAAACTACGAAGAAATTCTCAGTAGCGGATGTTTGACCATCCAATCCCAGTGTGGTAGGTGTGTGAGGGTGGAACACAAATGCACATAGCAAGTGATAGTCAAGTGGATGACCTCCTACACATTGTTCAAATTATGCGGTAAAATCGTGATGGTTACGTCACCACCCCGGATGCAAGAGGATGTGTTACAGTGGAAAAAAGTTGATGGGGTAAATATATTAACAGGTGTAGAAATGAGGGGTGCATTTCAAGTAGTGAAAGAAATTACGGTCGGTTGGATATGCACCATGTTAGTATACAGCGTTAGAGACCAGATCAACCGTTGCTTGCTGATGACGTGTAAGGTCGGAAATCGGTGCCACATGGCAACGTCGAATAGACAGGTGAGAGCCGAGGAGAGAACCCAGAGGAAGTTCCGGCCAAAGTGCCGTAATCCGTTTTAACATGACTGCCGTGTTATGCCAGCCCGTTAATCCTTGGATCACCGAGTGAGAACAGCACACCACTGTGCTTTGCGACAGATTTCGCCTCGCACTCTCCGACATTTAGACAGTCGAATAGTGTGAAGTTTGCACAGTTACAAATGTTCAATTAAATTTGTGACGGTGCGGATCGATTCTATACCAGAAATGCAAACTTACCAGCTCACACGCATCATCTGAAGCAAGCGCCTTGCGCTGGGAATCGTCTTTTGGTGGTAACGGAACCGAGAACAGAACGGTCACATTCACTGCGAATGGAGGAGGAATTGAACCATCAGTCACCCCGTGAAATTAAGTAAGCATTAAGATGAAAGTAACTGAGAGTAAGTCACAAGGACCGTCTATGTGGCAAGCCCTAGAAGTGACTGTAGAAGCGGACATGGCTGACAAAAGTATTCACTCGAGTTGAACATACCGACGGAGAGCGCGGACTGCAGAAGTGCCAGATTGCACCAGATTGCTTGACTCAGACCCACGTAGTTACCGCTCAAACTGGCTAGCTTCCTACTTTGCAAAGGTACAAATTAAATTATACTTTTATGATATTGTACACGTGGTACTCAGACATACTGGGAAATCTCCAGAGCTTACCAATTGTTTAACATTTGCCGTGCAATTAAGCTTGTGTCATTGCAACCTCTTTATTCTACTCCATTTTGCCTGCTTTCGAATTCCGCTGTCTAGACCAGCCATTCTCAACGGGAGCCATATGACCATGGAGAATTCCCGGCGGGACCTGGGATAGGAACATTTTTAGGGGGGGCATGGATGGACCGTGAACAGAGTGTTGTGATAACACAAATAACAAAATTCTTTTAAAATATTCCTGAGAGTTTCTCTATGCGTACTGATCTACTCTGGTAACTACCGGTCAGTGAAATGAATTACGCACGCACAAATCACTGTTTCCCAGGGTGTGAAAGCGAGACCGGACAGACTTTCAGTTGCCGAGCTGACACAGTGAACCAACGGATGCATTGACTGTGCAAGCTGCCGCGATCCAAGTGAACTCTTGTCAGGGCGCTGCGGCAGTTGTCTCTCAAAGCCACACGGACACCGAGTTTCCCTCAGGACACTGCCACTAGGTGACATCTCATGTTCCGGTCAGTCTATTTTCCGTTGGGTCTGTGTCGTACCGCTAGATTGCGCGTTTTTCGTCTCCAGTCTCAGCTCACATGTACATCTGACAGCTAAGTCACGTTAGCCCGCAACGTTCCGAAGTCGAGTGGCTACTCTGCGCGCGTGGCGTAATATTTCTGAAGAAAGTTCGTTCGTTCTGACTAAGTGGCGAAATAGCTATTGACGCGTTATAACGCTTAATTAACATGCAGTTTAGTTAAATACTTCGAATTGGCGAGTAGTTTTGTCAACTTATATCATGCGTATGAACATCCGGTTCCTTTGGTGAGTACATGTAACATAATGTGTACACAGAGATACTTCTCCTGATACTTGTATTAATCAAATGCCTTACCAGCACGCAACTGGTGCCATGCTTGGCGGTGGCCGATGTCATGAAGTTTTCTTCAGTCCTTTTAGTTATCCACTGTATTTTCAAATTCATCCTCAGTATTTCTACACTTTTACAGTTCAACATTGTAGCAACCAACATAGGTTACAAGTATACTTATCAAATGTCCTATGATCTCATGGTCAAGCAAGAATAAGTTTAGTGCCACCAATTATGCACACTTACTGCATGATTCGCCTTGCCAAATAACGTTATTTAATACCCATGATGTAACAGATTAAGAGAACTAAAACAAACTCAGTATATGTATAGATGTTATAGACTAACAATCTACGGTGACATATTTCAGAAATGAGCTCCTCAGCAAGAAATTAGTGCCGGCAGTACTCCGTGGAATACCTGTCATTTGGATTTATCGCATCACCTCACATCCCCACACGACCTACGTGGTTAATTTGCCAACACACTCTTTTGACTGAAACTATGAGACTTATTGAACTGAAAATTCATTTACCTAGTAATCATAAGGACGAAGGCGGATAGTTTGTGGAATTTTTCGGAAAGCTGCAGGATATTATCGAAAATAGACCAACTTTGACGACAATGGTATCTGACAGTAGAAAAATAGGCGAATGGACTTACGGCATCTTAGGAAATCAGTAATTTGACTGCCAAAACTATAGCCCACATAATGTTGGAGAACAGATTATATATATTACCTTCCGTGACAAGTATACTGTCTGACCTGATGAGTATAAACCCACAAGAACCAGTTCAAGCCATAAGGCTGAACAACTCAACTACATTGAGTCGAAAAGCTGAGATGAATCAGGACATAGAAAGTACCTTAGTTACTGTAGTACATCGAATTTTCGTTACAATTTAACGAATCTACTTTGTCTGACAACGCCGCTCTTCTCGTGGCATATGTCCGTTTATGCAATGACAATGAAATAATGGAAGAGATGCCTTCTACCAGGAGAATTAAAATGCATACGAAAGACCAGTCTCTATTTCTTAACCGAATGCCCCCAGATGTTGCCTGGGAAACCTTTACAAAGACGTTTAGCACACTGGTAGCACACGCATTGGAACAGAAGTCCTTCCAACATAAGAACAAGCATAAGTCATTTCTGAGGAGCAGAACACGTAAATGTATGTCCCGGAGGGATTTGGCATAGCGAGATCACTAGGACTGCTCGAATGCCGAAACCTGGACTGCATACCTGACACATCGTAACTTTTGTGTGAAACTGATCCGCAAACACCTGGTCACGCATCAGCATGAGTTAATGAAGCGATTCTGCACGGACCGCGAAATTCTGCACAGGCACGTTAACGGTCTTCGTAAGGTCGAGCGGGGGATTCCAGCACTAATCACGGCTGATGGATGCACGCGATAAGCAATGGAAGCAGACGATCGCCTAAGGCTTCATTACTCCCAAACTTTCCAGCAGGTAACGTGCCCAAATATTCTCCTCGTTTCTATTACTCCACCATCGGGTTTAGACAACATCACCTTCATTGCGGAAGCTGTATTGAAGAAGTTGTTATCCTTGCGTAACCACAGTTCTCCTGGAGTCGACAACTACCGACCAAAGGCTCTACAGGCGGTAGCTACTGATCTAGCAGAATCACTGCCTGTTTTCTATCAGCAATATCTAGAGGAGAACCATATTCCACCAGTATGGAAGTGAGGGGTCATCACTCCTATCCATAAAGGAGGTAGACGCACCCAGCCTACCAACTACCGTCCAATGACACTATTTCCTGTGCTATCCAAAGTGATGTAATCGATCATCGTAGATGCGCTGATGCAATATTTGGAAAGCCACAACTTAATAGCCACTGAGCAACATGGCTTTCGTCAAAAGCTTTCATGTAATGGTTGGCGGCATCCGGTTTCGGATTTGCCTGTCACTGTGGCAAGCCACAGGACGCCTGCGCCTACAGAGGGACCATGGGTGGCCTGCGCTGCACCACCCACAGCTCCAACCACATACCACATATCCAGTGTAAACCCGAAGGAATAAGACCGGGAGGCATGTGGATGGGAGCCACGTTTCATCAACAGAGTCGGCCCACACTCCTTCACAGGCAAACACAAGCACGCTGTATTTGGGAATCAAGCGCACACAAGGCGGTGGCTGGACTGTAGTCCGCTCCACGCTGACTGCATGGAACCACTCTTTGATCCTAACACGGCCACAAGGACCGTGCACCCCGTCCCCTCCAGCAACGATCAACTGTCTCCTAAAGCCAGTATGAACGAGGTAGTGGATAATAGACAGGTAAGCACCTTGTCAACATGCACATCAAGCGCAGCCACACCGGGGATATCAAACAACAGCCAATCACTTGAGAGAGAGAGATACAAAGAAAATAGCTCGATTAATGCATAAGGAAACGGTGACATAAACCTTACGTTAATGAGCATATGAAATAAGTTGTTTACAAACGAATCCTAGATAAGTTCACGAGGTCAGAAAGCATACTTTACGGAAATGCCACGAACACAAAAATGTTATGGAAATCGAATACAATTGGCTTAAGCGAGGTGCGCAAGTTAATGGAATAGAGTACAGGTAGACATTTATATGAGAAAGAAAAGCATTAAGGCAAAATTGAAAACCCACCACCTGAAATAAAGAGACTTAACATGCAAACACGCGGTTAGTAAATCGAATGCAGCGTACCTACAAACGCTGCGCCGGTTCTGCATACCTTCTCCGCAGGACCCGTCGTAGCTTCTTTAGTCGTCCCGAGTGGCCTCGCTCATGGCTCACTAGGCCTGCCTGACTCAGGCACTCGCGACCGCATGTGCTACAGCACCATGCGTTCGATGTCGACGGTGTACAACCCATCGGTGCTTGCCCCTTCCGCAATTGCCGCTTCTTCTCTGCATGCATGACGTCTTTTTTCCGCACTTGGGCAACTGCCTTCTTGATCAGATCGCGCCACGCATGCCGATCAATTGTCTTCGATTCCCATGATCTGCAATCAAGATTAGAACGTGTGAGTCTCACTTTAATCATGTCCTGGTAACGTAACTTTGGTTTCCCCAAATGCCGCTTCCCAATACTCAGCTGACCGTAAAAAAGTTGTTTTGGTATCCGAGTCGAACCCATACGGGTCACATGACCGATCCACCTCAGGTGTCTCAATACAAGTATGCAGTCCACTGCATACATCCAACTTCGGCGCAACACTTCCGTGGCTGCAACTCTGGCGCCCCAACCGATGCGCAAAATCCGTCGCAGACACTGCTGATGGAACCGCTCGAGATATCGCACATCCCGCGGGCACATCGTCCACGTTTCACTGCCGTATAGAAGAACAGACAGCACCATGGATTTGTACACCATCAGCTTCGTGCCAATGGTAAGCTGATGGTTGTTCCACACTCGGTACTCAAGCTTCCCGAATGCCGCTGCTGCCTTCGACACGCGGATACGCAGTTCACTGTGTAGCTGCTGATCAGTCGACATCACACTCCCAAGGTAACAGAAGCTGGAGGTGGTTTCCAATACTTCAGCACCAATGCTGATTCGCGGCAATATTGAAGATTGCACCTCCGGTGAAGGCTGAAAGAGACAGACAGTTTTGCTTGTGTTGATGGTGAGCCCGAATTTGGCCGCTGTCGAATCCAGAGCACTAGTCATGTGCTGCAACTCATCCGCGCTGTGTGAGAACAACGCACAGTCGTCAGCAAACAGCAACATACGGATAGTTGTCTCACAGACTAGAGTTCTCGCACCGAAACGACGGATGTTCAGCAACCCACCATCAATACGGTGCTCCACACGAACACCGTAAGTACAAGCCGCATCAAAAGCACAAGACATCATTGCATGAAGATAGATATTAAACAGGGCAGGAGCTAAGACACAGTATCGTTTCACACCAGAGACAACTGCAAAGACATCCGAGATCTCTCCACTCAGCTGCACCCTCGCCCGCATACCACTGTGCAGACATGCAATTAAACTTACAAATTTACGCGGGCAAACAAACTTACCCAACACCAACCACAATCCCTCGCGGTTCACCGTATCAAATGCCTTGGTGAAATCAACAAAAAGTGAGTACACTGGCTGGTGTCATTCTATGCACTTCTCTTGCAACTGACGAGCC